GTTTGGAAAGTTTTTTTTTTTTTTTTTTTTTTTTAATCTTTTATTTCATTCACAATGTATAAAATAAACACAAATACAGGATACATTAACATATTGAAAAAAAAACATTTGAATGAAAAGGAGCAGACAGAAGAAAAAATCTTATGATTTCTGCCCCTTTTTACGAAATAAAATTATCCGCCAAACAAACACAATATAACCTCGGTCACTTTATAATATTTTCACGTCTAATCTTTGACATTATAATTATTCTTTTCATAATTACTAAATACATTAGATTTTATACATTTTTTAAATATTGCAAGTGTAGTTGATTCTTTAAATTCCTTGTTAATGGCGTTCCACAATCTTACACCATTTACAGAAATGTTACATTCCCTCACTTTGGTTCTGAATCTAGGTTTCTCAAAGACATCCGTTCCTCTTAACATGTACCCACTTACTCTCTTATGAAACATTTTCTGAATATTAGTTGGTAGATTACTCGTATTCGCTCTGTACATTATTTGCAATATTTTCCACTCTACCAAGTCAGGAAATTTCAGTATTTTGTATCTAATGAATAATTGATTAGTGTGATCTCTATAGTTACTGTTATTAATGATTTTCAATGCTCTTTTTTGCAAAATGAACAATGGTTGTGTAAAAGTTTTGCAAGTGGCTCCCCAAATTTCTAAACAATAAAATAAATATGGTTCAATCAGTGAGTGATACAATGTTAACAACCCCGACAAATTTAGTAGAAACTTGACTCTATATAATACCCCTATGGCTTTGGCAATTTTCCCCTTTATATAACCTACATGTGATTTCCACGTGAGACTCTCATCGAACATGACTCCAAGAAATTTGGTTTCTTTTACCCTTTGAATTTCCATTCCATCTATCATTAAAGATACATCACAGCTTCTTTTGTTATTAAACAGTATATAGTTTGTTTTGTTCAGGTTCAGTGATGGTTTATTTATATCAAACCATTTTTTAACTTTAATCAATTCACTGTTTATCACTTGAGTTACTTCATGTATATTTAATCCTGAATAAAACAATGTAGTATCATCCGCAAATAAAACTGTGCCAAGTAATTTCGACACATTTACCAGGTCATTAATAAACAATATGAACAGTTTAGGTCCGAGGACTGACCCTTGTTGCACACCATAATAAATATCTTTTAATTCAGATTTAGCATTATTTATTTGAACAAACTGTTTTCTATTGCGTAAATAACTATTAACCCATTGATGCGCCACCCCTCTTATTCCATACCGGTGTAATTTAAGAAGTAACCTTGAATGATCAATGACATCAAATGCCTTTTTTAAGTCAATAAAAACACTAATGAAATGGTTTTTATTGTCAATTGCTGATGAAATTTTATCTACTAAATCCATAACTGCCATTGCTGTTGAATGTTTGGTCCTAAAGCCATACTGTTCATGATTTAAAATTGAATTTTCGTCAATGAATTTGTCCAACCTTAATGCAAACACTTTTTCTAATATTTTGGAAAACTGTGGAAGCAGTGACACTGGCCTGTAATTAGTGAAACTCTGTTCATCACCGCTCTTAAATAATGGAACCACCTTGGCAATTTTCATTAAATCAGGGAAGACTCCTGTAGATAGTGACAGATTACAGATGTAAGTGAATGGCTCAATAACAGATTCAATTATAGCTTTTACAGTCACCATGTCCAGATCATCACAATCAGTTTATCTTTTGCTTCCCCAGTTTTTTACAATGTTTCTTATTTCTTGTTGATCTACTTTGTCAAGGAGAATACTATTGACATTTCTAGGTATTGTATTCATTGTATCGTGAATTATTGGTTTGCTTTCCACCAGACTCCTTCCTACATTTATAAAAAAATCATTGAATTCATTAGAAATGTCTTTAACTTCATAAATGTCTTTATTGTCCTTTACAAAGTAGTTTGGGAGTCTCGCATTTGTATTATCTCTGTTAATCACATTATTTATTATTCCCCATATAGTCTTGATGTTGTCTTTGTTCTTATTTAATAGCTCACCATAGTACTCTTTCTTCTGTTTCCTAATTATTGTTACTAATTTATTTTTATATTTTTTATATCTGTCTTCAGCTTCCTTTGTTTGTAACTTTAAGAATCTCATATACAGACTTTTTTTTTGGCACATGCATTTTTAATTCCATTAGTCATCCATGGTTGGTTGTCCCTTTTACCTGTTATTTTAATTAATTTACAACTACTGTTAAACGATTTCAGCAGTATTTTCATGAAGGATGTATATGCATTGTTCACATCACTGACATAGACTTCCGTCCAGTTCTGCATTTTAAGATCTTTATTTAGGTCCTCCAGGGCTTTAACTGATTTATTTCTTTTATAATTAATACAATTATGTTTTATGATATTTTTATTGTTATTGTGATATTTAGACACTACGAAAATAGGTAAATGATCACTAATATCTGTCATCAATATCCCAGTTTTAACAACGTCCTCCTTTCTATTAGTGAATATATGATCAATTATTGTTGCACTTTGGGTTGTGATCCTGGTAGGTTTGTTTATCAAAGGAACCAAACCTAAACTATATATCATATCAAAAAAATCACTTGATGTTCTAAGAGCCACAGGATGTTCTAAGTTAATGTTAAAGTCCCCACTCATAAACAATGTTTTGTTTTTAATATGATCCACAAACTCATTTATTTTATCTTTAAATGACGTGATGCAAGAACCGGGTGCTCTATATACACAACTGATTATTATATTTTTTGATGTGTCATTGATAATTTCCACTGTTACCATTTCCATAACATTATCTTCCATCATAGTCATTTTCTTATCTAATTTACATTTTAAATCATTGTTAATGTACAGGGCAACACCACCACCCCTTTTATTTATTCTATTTACAAAATGAAGTTCATACCCTTCTATTTGTACTTCAGTCATCCTTTCATCATAAAGCCAAGTCTCAGTAATGGCAATGACTTTGAATTTACTTTTAAATTTACCTAAATAGTCCTTTATTGTTGACATCTTGGAAACTAAACTTCTACTGTTTATGTGTATGATTGATAATGAATCATTGTTAGTTAACCCACTATTTAGCTGATCTTCTGCATAATAATTACTATTTATATTTAACTCAAATAAACTTTCGTCTATTTTACTGTCAAGTTCATATATTTTCTCATGGGAATCCATTTATTCTTTATGAATTCATTTGTACTTCCATATCCATAGTTAAACTGTTTCCACTATCCACTAAGTTCTCCTCCTTAAGAGAAGAGTAGAAATCCAGCAGAGATCCTGAATCTCTGCTTTCAAGTGCCAAACCCTCTTCAGCACTTTCCCCAGGCTGAGCCATCTGACAGCTGTGTGGAGTCCTCCAAAAGAGCCACAAACTGTCTGTGATTCATCGCCCGTGCCCTGATGAAGTTTATTATTTTAGTAACAACATCAGTAACATGGTTGATTTTTAGCACTGACTTGCACAACACATGTTGGTGTATAATACAATGCAAAAACACCTATTTTTGATCTGCATCGATTTCTATCACTTTGTCTTGCATGCGTTTCAAAAGTCCGACATTTTTCCCTGTAAGATTTGGACAACCGTCTGTTGTGACACCTGACAGTCTCTCCCATTTCAATCCCAGAGTGTCCGTGCACGCATTTACCTCTGTAAAAAGATCACTCCCTGTCGTTGTCCCATTCATCGACCGCATTGCTGCCAGCTCCTCTGTGAGGTTGAAGTCCGTTATCCCCCGGACCTTGGGCTTCCTGACAGGGATGCGGAAGGCGCTTTAGAAATAAAGCTTTGATTGATTGTTATCCCCCGGACAAATACGAGCAGCTGGGCTGTGTCCCGGACATCACAGCTCTCGTCTAATGAGAAAAAGTCAAAACTTGCCACTTCACGTTGCAGCTGAAGCTCCAGCTCCCCGCAATGTCCTCGATCCTCCTGGTCACGGTTCGCCTGGACAGCGGGATTTGCTCAAATGCGCCTTTTTTTCAGGGCATATTAGTGCGGCAGAGTCCACCATGCACTCTTTGACAAACTCTCCCTCCGAAAACGGTTCGCTGTTTTTAGCTGTTTTGTGGGACATCACAAAGCTGGTCCTGGTTGCTGCATCCCTGGATGTGTGAAGCTTAGTAAAAAAAGCCTTGCTGCTTTTGCAACTTTGCTAGCAAAGCTTCGGATGTCCGTGCCCTCTCAGCATCAGACAAGTTCTTGTATTTTTCAGAGTGCTTCTTGTCGTAATGCCGACTCAAATTGTAGTCCTTAAACACGGCAATCTCCTCCCCGCAAACCAAACACACGGCTTTGCCTCCGACTTCAGTAAAAAAAATACTTAAAAGTCCAATTTTTGTTGAAAATCCTGCATTCGGCATCTTTTTTTTTTTTTTGCATGAGCGGACATTTCTGGGGCTATGTCAACCGCTGGCACTTGTTGCTATACGTATTGCGTCATTGTGCACGTAAAAAACAACTTCAAAATAAAAGCAATGCAGCCTTAGCCCATGCATGAGGTAAAATGAGAAAATACATTTATTTTGTAATTTCCAATTAACCTTACGCGGGCCGGTCAAAGTCAACCAAAGGGCCTTATGTGGCCCGCGGGCCGTAAAATGCCCAGGTCTGAGCTAGATGAACTCTGGAATCGGTGAGCAAATCTTATGCTCTGTTATTTCAAATAAGTTTGCACTATTTTACCTGAAAAACATTAAAAACAGTTCATTGTACATATTCTGGTTAATAACTGTTGCACAAGTCTAATTTTTGAGAAAACCAGATTTATACTTTTGCTAACTGTGAATCAGTTTCCAATTGTATTTGGATGTCAAACAATATGGATAATATAGGTATTAATTTTTGATCAGGTTTATTTGCATGACAGATAATTACATGAGTGGATTAATCTGGTGACTTTGATGGCGAGCCTTCTCACTTTGCAAAACATCAACATTTACGTTTAAACTCCAGAAACAGCGAACAACAAACTGAATAGTGAACAAAGAGATTTAATAAAACACTTTAGTGGCAAACATTTCATTTTCAACCTTTTCTTCTCCAAAAACAAAACATTTAATAAAACTGCTGCCTTTCATTTTCAAGTGGTGCTCGCCGCAGAACCACAAAGGCGGAGCTGCACCATAAGGTGGAGCTGCACCAGAGTCAGCCCCGCCCATTCCAGAATCAGCCCCGCCCATTTCATCAGAGTCAGTCCAGTTCCTTCCAGTTGTCAGACTTTATAGCATTCTGGAACCAAAGAGGGTGTTATAGCTAATATCATCTACAATGCAAGATTGAGGACAGAGTTGAGAAGTTAATTGAACAGTTTTTGTAAAGGTTCCATATAATTAAAAATCTAACTTTTGGAACTTTTTATCATGTTATATTGTCATTTCCTCATAAGAAACACGCCAAAGCCATTTTTGGCCTCATTCATGCATTTTCCTCCCATCTCAGCTTCAATTTGGTCTCCTCCCCTGAAGTGGGTCTGGTCTTGGTTCTCAAATCTGGATATTCTGTGAATTTTCTGACAAATTATTTCTGAAATAACTTCTACTGAGACACCGCCAATAAACCATACATCCTATCTGCAAAGACACACTGGATAGGAATTACCAGTAACGCCACTTACTTTTTATCAGATGTGGTGGGGTAGTGGCTATGGATGTAGATTGACATGTAGTTTTGCGCAGGTTCGCCTCCCAGTAGCAGAAATATTAGGTAGTTTACAACCCCTTTTCTTCATTTCTAGCCACACTTGCCAGTACTATGTTTACAACAATTTACTGGTATACCGTTAACAATATAATGACTAATGTGTTTATTTATTTATTTATTCGTTTATTTAGCCAGTGTGAGTCCATTTGTGAGCAGAGTTTCAACTAAAATGCTGTTTAGGAATGACCAAATTCAAAGAACTTGTAGAGACATAAATATTTTGCTGAAAATAAACATTACAACTAAAATAAAAACAAATTAAATGTTTCATCTGGCTAAATAGATAGATGCCGACCCCACGGAGAATCGAACCAGCAACAGCTGAGGGCAAAGCAAAATTTAACTGAGACAATCTTGCCACTGGACTACCACAGCACATTTGATAATCCACTTGCTGTTGTACGACAGTTTTGTTAGAGCAGCTGTGGGCAGATAATCGCTAAAAGAAACCTTTTCATTTCGAGATATATTCAGGCTTTATCATGTACAACAAATCTGTCGGATGAAGTGTACTCTGTATTTCTAGCTGTATCTAGTATGGTTATTATTTATTATTTTTTAACCCATTCAGTAGCGGTCAGTGTTGCAGCCAAACTGAAGAAGCCTCTGACTGAAGAAACTCTTCCGTTGTCGGACAGTCTTGTGAAGAGAATGCTCAGGGTTGTCCATCATGTTCTTGATTCTCTGGAGAATCCTTCTTTGCATCATCTCCTCCAGCGGTTCCACAGTCGTCCCCAGAACAGAACCAGCCTTTTTCATTAGGCTGTTGAGCCTTTTCAGGTCCCTGCTTCTGATGCTGCTACCCCAACAGACGATGGCTGAAGAGATTACACTCTCAACAACAGACTTGTAGAAGATCTGCAGCATCTTGCTACAGACATTGAAGGACCTAAGCGTCCTCAAGAAGTGCAGTCTGCTATGTCCCTTCTTGTAAACAGCTTCGCTGTTCTTTCTCTTTTTGTCTCATTGCGGTCGGTCTTATTGTATTTTAATGTTTTTCTCCCTCTGCAGCATAACTTTTACTTTTACTTTGCTTGGCTGTAAACTAAACAAATTTCCCACTTGTGGGACTAATAAAGGTCATCTTATCTTATCTTATCTTATAGCATTAACATTTGTAAAGCAGTAACAGCCGTAATTCATGTGGGTCAGGTTAGTTTGCGATAAAGTTGAAAAACAAAAACGGAAGTCAGTGGGCTAGGTTGAGTTTGCGTGAATGGGCGGGGCTGACCCTGGTGCAGCTCCACCTTATGGTGCAGCTCCGCCTTTGTGGTTCTGCAGCGAGCACCCTCTCTTCATTTTAGTTAAAAGAGCTTCCAGCTCAGTAGCACATTTCATTCAACACCCTCAGAAGTCCCAAAATATATATTTTATTTACGTTCATTAATTCTGTCCTGTGTGGACTCTCGTGTGAAAGTTTAAACTTCTCTTTTGAGCAAATCTTTGTCCACAGAGCTCACAAGAAAAAGGCTTCTGTCCTGTGTGGACTCTAATGTGAGTGTTTAAATATGTCTTTCGACTAAACCTTTGTCCACAGAGATCACAAGCAAAAGGCTTCTGTCCTGTATGGACTCTCATGTGTGAGTCTAAATTTCCCTTTTGGGTAAATCTTTGTCCACAGAGCTCACAAGAAAAAGGCTTCTGTCCTGTGTGAACTCTCATGTGTCTGTATAAACTTGACTTATCACTAAATCTTTGTTCACAGAGCTCACAAGCAAAAGGCTTCTGTCCAGTGTGGACTCTAATGTGAAAGTTTAAACTTGACTTATCACTAAATCTTTGTCCACAGAGCTCACAAGCAAAAGCCTTCTGTCCTGTATGGACTCTCATGTGTCTGTCTAAATTTCCCTTTTGGGTAAATCTTTGTCCACAGAGCTCACAAGCAAAAGACTTCTGTCCTGTATGGACTCTTATGTGTGTGTCTAAATTTCCCTTTAGGGTAAATCTTTGTCCACAGAGCTCACAAGCAAAAGGCTTCTGTCCTGTGTGAATTCTCATGTGAATGTTTAAAGATGATATGCAGCTGAAACTTTTTCCACAGTCGTCACAACTAAATGATTTTAGTTTTGTCTGAACTTTCCTGCTAGAGTCTACATTTTGCTTCACTCTAACACGTTTCTTATCAACACAACAGCTTGAAGACTTCAGTCCTGAATGACTTGTCACTCTCATGTGTTTCTGGAGAGACCGCTCATGGAGAAACTGTTCACCACACTCTGGGCAGCTGAAAGATTTGACAGCCTTAACATGTGATTTAGAAGACCTGCTCTCCTTCCAGTCTTTGTTATCATCTTTGGTGTTTGGCTCAGAATCTGACAAGAGTTTCAGTTGACAGTCAGAATTGTTGCCATCCTGGTCATCATCTTCATCATTGCTGACTTCAGTCTCTGAAGAGTTAGAATCATATTCATAAAGTTTTAGATCTGGATTCCTGGTAGTTTCTGCTCCTCCACAGTCCTCTCTACCACTTTCTGCTTTCATCTGGTCAGTGGTGCTGCTGGTTGGAAGATCTCTGTCTTTAGGTTGGTTCTGATCAAACTGTGACAACAGAACTTCTCTTCCTTCTTCCTTAACCTGATGAGAAACTGCAGAGAATGAAATGTTGGTGGCATCAGTTTTAATCTCATCAAGCTGCTCCTCCTCTTCCTGCTTCATGTTGAGGGGCTCCATGTCCTTCTGGTTCAAAGGAGGCCTCAGTTCTTCAGGAGCTCTTCCTTCTTCCTTAAACTGACACAAAACTACAGAGAATGAATTATCACAGTTTAAAATGAATTTAAATATAACAAAACTTTAAAATGTATTTTACTTTGAAAAACCAGTGCTGCTGTTTTTCCCCGTGTGCGAAGGAGCCGGCTTCTGTGCGGTGCGCTGCTCTCACGAGTTAAAGAAAACTACAGGGAGAGAAAAGGTGGAAGAAAGGAACCTTACGTTAGAAGAAGGCATTTTTAGTTCAGACCTGTGAAAACCAGCTTCATGCTAACGCACGCTGCTACATGTGAACAGTAACGTAGTCAATGTGGTCTGTCGTTAATGCGTAATTCCAGATCGGTAACAGCGTACAGCTTCATGTCGGGTCATGTTCCCACCGAGACTCATTTCTGCTCGCATTTTCAGAAGAAGAGGAAGGAAGCCGAGGAAGATGTTGAGGTAACGTTAGATGAATATGCTCATTGTTCTTTATCGTGACCCAGTTCCCTCTGAGTGATCTGTACCGTGATACGTGTGATATTCCCAACGTTCCTATTGGTGACTGAAGGGAATCTAACATGTGGCTAATATATTAGACAAGTAGGCTGAAGTGGAGGAGGTGAGTGAAGGAGAGACAAGTGGAGAGGCAGAGCAAGGAGCAGCATGATGATGGAGAGAGCAGCAGGGAAGCAGAGAATCTGGCTGGGACCCAAAATGTTCCTCCCATGGCTGTAGCACAACAGTCAAGCATTACAATTTATGTCAAGTTAAATAAATATTTTATTTTATTTTAATTAAACATGAGCTGTTTTACACACTCCTGCATTAATGTTCACCAAAAACACACAGTCTCATGTCTCAGAACGACCGTCTCCATACGTCTCTACCACCCTGCATTTAGGGGCGTGGTCCTGGTCAACACCATCTCCTGAACTCCAAACTGAAGGTCAGAATGGGAAAGAAAGGTGATTTAAGCTAATCTGAGCGTGGCATGGTTGTTGGTGCCAGACGGGCCGGTCTGAGTATTTCACAATCTGCTCAGTTACTGGGATTTTCACCCACAACCATTTCTAGGGTTTACAAAGAATGGTGTGAAAAGGGAAAAACATCCAGTATGCGGCAGTCCTGTGGGCCAAATGTCTTGTTGAAGCTAGCGGTCAGAGGAGAATGGGCCGACTGATTCAAGCTGATAGAAGAGCAACTGATAGAGACTACTTCCTGGTTTAATGACAGCCTTCGCAGCCTGAAGCACCAATGCAGAAACATTGAGCGTTTGTGGAAGAAAACCCATCTCCACGTCCATCTGCTGCACCTAAAGGATCTTCTGACATCCTTTAACTCTGCAGTCAGAGACGCCAGGGTTTCCTATTTCTCCAACCTGGTGTCCCAGAGCAAAGGGAACCCCAAGGTGCTGTTTAACACCATCAGCAGCACCGTCTCTCCTGCCTCTCCTACAGCCTCCATCCACTCTGTTACAGACTGTGAGAACTTTCTGTCTTTCTTTGTGGACAAAGTCAATAAGGTTAGATCTAGCATCTCTCCTTCAGCCTCCACCACCTCCCTTACCCATGGTGTCCAGTGTTTCCCCTAGGATTTTTTCCAGCTGTGGCGGGGGGGCCGGTGGGGGGGTGGGGGGATAACACATCTCTAAATAAAGTAAAATTTTCCAGTGCAGAGTGGAGACAACCCATAGAAGCACTGATTTGATCTCATTTCAGAGAAAAATAGAACAGGTCAGATGCACCTAATAAATAAAATTACTAACAAACTCAGGAATCTTTCTTTGCTTCACTGTTCTGGTGCTGAGAATATCACTAATGCGGATCAAAGGAGATACACAGATGAATGCACCTCTTATTTATTTATGACTTCCTATCGCTGGTTCCTTCAAAGGCAGTTCGAAATCTGGGTGTTGTGATTGATGAACACCTAAGCTTTAAAGATCATGTTGTCTCTGTTGCTCGTTCATGCCGCTTTGCGCTGTATAACATACGAAAGATCAGACCATACCTAACACAACATGCCACACAGCTCCTGGTGCAATCTACTGTCATCTCCCGCCTCCATTACTGCAATGCCCTTCTAACTGGTCTTCCAGGCTGTACTGTGAGACCTCTTCAAATGGTCCGGAACGCAGCGGCGCGTCTGGTCTTCAATCAGCCTAAAAGAGCACACGTCACCCCTCTGTTCATTGAGCTCCACTGGCTACCGCTAGCAGCACGCATCAAATTCAAACTGCTAACACTAGCATACAAAGTCCGAGATGGTACGGCTCCCATCTACCTGAATCCTCTTGCAAAGGCTTACGTCTCGGCCCGGCCGCTCCGGTCATCACAGGATGGTCGGCTAGCAGTGCCTACACCACGCTCAGGACAATCCAGACTCTTCTCATGCATCGTTCCACAAATGTGGAATGACCTTCCAAGCACCACCAGAACAGGAGCTTCCTTTTCTATTTTCAAGAAACTCCTGAAGACCCTGCTCTTCAGAGAGCATCTTGTAAACTAGCACCCTCCCTGCACCCGTCCCCCCTCCCTACTGTCCACTCCCTGTTCTCTCCTCTCCATGACTGATGTCAATTTGTTGTTGTTGTTGTTGTTAGCCTCAAGGGCAACATGCCGATTATCACTTGTAAGTCGCTTTGGACAAAAGCGTCTGCTAAAGACATAAACCTAAACATTTATTATTTGGAGACTACATTTACTGCAGCTGGCAGAGGCAGAGATTTTTTCTATTGATACACGGATTTACAGAATCATTTTAAATGTTAATAGGGGAAGACTGCAGGAGGGAGCGGTAAAATACAGGGGGTCCCCAGCAAAAACAAGAAACTTTACCAGTCTGATGAAACCCGCTGGTTTTCCATCAGGCAGTCACGGGGCAGCTCCAACGACCCAGTGGCTGTGCTGGGTCAGTGTTATCGAGCTCAGTCCGGCCGTGAACGAGCCGAGGCGACGTCGTGCTCTGCTTAAGATGAGGTGTCATTTTCCTGCTTCAGAAGAAGCGTCCAACGTGTTTTTACGCTTTCTCCGACACATGTCACGTCGCTAAGTTGTTAGCGCCGCGCGCTAACACGTCAATAGTGCAGCGTAGCCTGCTTGAGGTTTTAAGGGTTCAGATGAAAACACCCGACCTCTCAGGCTGCTCACACATCGATCTTAAGTTGTCGCTGTTGCGCTCACGCCGTAATACAGTATTGGATGCGGTTAAAGTCAGACATGAAAAAATAAATAAATTTTACATGAATAAGTGATGAAAAGAAGGGGGAGGAGAACCTGGCCTAATAAGCACTGGAGGAAACCCTGTCAAGATCGTCAACACTCGTTTATCTTAATGCTACTGAAACATGTGAACCAAAAAGCATTATATCCACTGCTGCCTTTCTAATTTTAAACTCAGTAACTTCACCTTGCCCTGCCTGCTCCTCCTTGCTGCCCGCCGGCTGTGATCACAAGCGACAACATAGTAATTCCCACTGCTTCTTCGGGAAACAGCGCAAAATAAATAAATAAATAAATAAAAATTTAAAACAAAACTTGGGATCTTGTAGGTGTGGCGGTGGGAATCCGCCACGGCTACGCCTATGTAAGGGAAACACTGGTGTCCCACAAGGTTCTGTGCTGGGGCCTCTGCTCTTCCTCCTCTATCTGCTTCCTCTTCAGCACATCCTGAGCTCCTTCAAAGGAATCTCCTACCATCTTTATGCAGATGACATCCAACTGTACATCTCCTTTAAGCCCCATGAGATGTCTAAGCTGCAGCTGTTACACACCTGCTTAGACTCTATCAAAACCTGGATGGTGGGAGCTTTCTTCAGCTGAATGAAGATAAGACTGAGATCCTCATCTGTGCCCCAGACAAGCTGGTTCCCAAAGTCAGAGACTCTATTGGTCAGCTTGCTTCTCACACCAAACCTTCTGTCAGGAATCTTGGCGTGACCTTTGACCCAGCTCTCACCCTGGATTCTCATGCCAGTTCTCTTGTTCGCTCTTCCTTCTTCCATCTCAGGAACGTTGCTAAGCTGAGTCCCATTCTGTCCCGCTCTGAACTTGAGACAGTTCTCCACACCTTCATCTCCTCACGCTTAGACTACTGTAACTCTCTTTTCACGTGTCTGAGCAGAACCTCCCTGAAGCGTCTACAGGTGGTTCAGAACGCCTGTGCTCGGCTTCTGACCAAGTCCTCCAAACACACCCACATCACCCCGCTTCTCCTCCAGCTTCACTGGCTGCCAGTCAACTTCAGGGTTCATTTCAAGATCCTGGTTCTGGTCTATAGGGCCTTACATGGACAAGCACCATCTTACATTGGTGATCTTCTTAGTCCCTACACCCCCAGCAGGTGTCTGAGGTCCAGTGAACAAAGCCTACTGGTTGTGCAGCACCAGGCTAAAGGTCAAAGGTGACAGATTGTCTGCTGCTGTGGCCCCGAGACTCTGAAACTCTCTCCCCCTGAGCCTGACATCAGTGGACTCCTTTAAAAAGCAGCTGAAGACTCACTTTTTCAGGCTGGCTTTTGTATGACCTTCGTGATTTTTATCTTGAGAGGCGCTATAGAAATGATATTTTCTTCTTCTTCTTCCCCGTCCAACAGGGAGGACAACCACCTTCCTCAGACCACGCTGGTCTGCGTTATCAGTTATACTCCCATGGGAAACAGCATGTTGACTGAATGCACCTGGTTTTGTTTGAGGGAGTTGTGGTATTGTTTTTACTCCCTACGTTAAACAGCTTTCCACCTGAATCTCTACGGAGCAGTTTAGGAGTGTGATGTGATGTGTTGTGTGTGCTTGCTAATAAAACCCCTCAGAGAACGGATGTTCCCTGAGAGATCCTGTGAACGATGCTTGGGTGTGTATTCATTTCGTCTCTCTTTTTCTTCCCCGTGTCCTGTCTGGCTGTGAAGCAAACAGAATTGATGTCTGAATGCTGGTAACAAGCCTTACAGATTTACTCTCAGGTGGAGCATCAAAGCGTCTGCTTTTAATGTCACGCCTGATACTTAAAACTTTATTGTTATTGTTGTTGAATGCTTTGTAATTCCGACCAGACACGGAGTCAGAGGTGAAAGAGAAAGGAAGAGACAAGAGGCGGGGTGATGGGGGGAAGGGGGTGGGAGGTTCCACAAAATAAACAATAATGAACTAGAGTCTGCTTCTAGACCTGCAGAAAGAGAAAAGATTTAAAAAAAAAAAGGGACACCC